GCTTTTCTTATTGGCTAGTTTTCTCTGCCCCCTGCAATGGTGAGAAACGGAGTTAAGGAAGTGGTAGAGGGCAGAACGTGAGAATGTCTTGAGTGCAGAAGCAAGGGAAGGAGGGTGCCAGCTGCACCGACAGCCATGTGTTTTGTGCATGGGGCGAAGGGCTGGAGACGTACAGGCAAGGGAAGTTCTTGGTTCAGCTGCCGAACCATTCCCTTAATTTAGCTAAACTTCAAAAAAAGGTACACAGTAGAAATGAAAGTGTATTTTTTTCCAACTGAGCTGCTAGAAAGTTGTCTCTGGTTTCTGAGCTGGGTAGTTGTAATGAGTGATGTTGAAAAGGGGGGAGGAATGCAGGAGGAGAGAGATAGAAGGCTCATTCCTTTTTATTGGAAACCATAGACTAAACAAATTCATGGTGACAATTCTGCATTGTGTGCAACTTGTACTCCACAATCCAGTCCTGGGAAATATGGAGAAAAGAGGCTTCTGAACTCATCCCTGGTGAGCTTGCGTTCAGGGAGGAGGAGGAGGAGGAGGAGGAGGAGGAGGAGGAGGAGAGTTATGAGAAGAATGTCTTCTTTTTTTTAAGGAGCTGCAAGGGAGGCGGGATTAGGGGTTTCTTTCACAGCCATAACTGAAAACAGTAAAGCTGTTTGATATCCAGTGCCCAGATTCTCATTGCAAGGGCCATTTTAAACAGGGCTGTTTCTTGCATAGGAGGGCACTTCAGATCTTTCTGTTGGCAGAGTTCTTGCAACAGAAAAGGTATGCCAGGGGGCATGTTTGAGGAAAATGGCTTGAGAGCCAGCGTGGTGTAGTGGCTAAGAGTGGTGGACTCGTAATCTGGTGAACCGGGTTCGCTTCCCTGCTCCTCCACATGCAGCTGCTGGGTGACCTTGGGCCAGTCACACTTCTCTGAACTCTCAGCCTCAATCACCTCACAGAGTGTTTGTTGTGGGGGAGGAAGGGAAAGGAGATTGTTAGCCACTTTGAGACTCCTTAAGGGGAGTAAAAGGTGGGATATCAAGAAGAAGAAGAAGATATCAAAAGGTGGGATATCAAGAAGAAGAAGAAGAAGAAGAAGAAGAAGAAGAAGAAGAAGAAGAGTTTCTTCTTCTTCTTCTTCTTCTTCTTCTTCTTCTTCTTCTTCTTCTTCTTCTTCTTCTTCTTCTTCTTCTTGAAATGCATCTTGATAGAATGCTGGTTCCACAGCCTTCAGGCCTTTTTAGCAGAACTAGTTCCCAGAGATCAATCCAGAGATGTTCATCATTCTTGGGGGCTGTCCAAATATTCCCCAAGCCATGCCTCTTGCCAACAAGTCTGGATGATAGCAATAGAAAGGTCTGTCTGGGATGTGTAAAGTGAAGGCAATCCCCTGCTTTCCTTGCCACTTTGATTTCCGCAGAAGGGAAAATTGTGGGAGGTGGTGGAATCTTGTAGAAAAGCCTGCTCTTGAGTAGGCCTGGGTGATAGAGCAATATATCGCCCAGAATCGCTATGAGGGGTTAACTGCAATGGTGGTTTCACTCAGCGGTATATCACTGGGGAAACCACCACCACTCCTGAGTCCCTCCAGCACCCAGTGCAGAGGGAGAAACAGGCTGCATTGGTGAGGCGCCGATACAGCTTGTTCCTTCCTCCGTGTCTTCAAAATGCTTGGCTGAGGAGAGCGCAGCGGCCCTCGCCTCAGCCAAGCAGTTTTACAGAGCCCCGAACTCGGCACACAAGCCATCGGCAGGGGTGGGGGCGCCGTTAAACTGCCTCCGCTCCCCAGCTGAGGCAGCCCTGTTTCTTCTTCAGCTAGTGTGCAAGTGGGAGAAGGATTTGGGCTCCCTCAGCTGGGGGGATGAGGAAACTAAGCTGCCTCTTTCTCCCAGGAGAAGAAGGTCGTTTACCCACCCTCTTCCCCCTGCTGGCAAAGGAGCCCTGCCAACGGAAGCTGTCAGGCTCCATTACAGGGCTCCCTCCATCTTGGGGAGTGGTCTGGCTTGCTCAGCTATCGGGCGGGATCCTCCCCCCCAGCTGAGCAGTGGGCTTGGACATTGGCCCCGACCTGCAAGGTGCAGGGGTGAAAGAGCCCCAGCTCCCGCGGTGAGAGCTGTGGCAGTTTCACCCAGTGCCTCAAGGGCCAGGACCAATGCCACTTTTTTCAACATCGTGGTGTATCGCCAAACCGCAGTGTTTGGCTAGTGATACACTGCGATGTTGAAAACCTAATATCGCCCAGCCCTGCTCTTGGCTTGAATTAAAAAGTGCTTGTAACTGGGGGCATTTTATCTTATCAAGCTGATTCTTACTCTTATTTAAAGTAACAGCATGTGAGCCATTGGGAATTTAAAACTGGGGACCCTAGAAGCAAGTGACTGCCAACTAAAATAGCTGGTCTATTGAGGCAGGAGTGATGGCATACTGTCTTCTGTGGTCCTTTGAGAAACAAAGGCTTTGATCTCTATGAGGATTCCACTCACCCTCTTGATGGTTGCCAACGTGGGACCCCCAATACATTCCTCCATCTTTCTGTCTGATGGATGATGTGCAATTCTTGTACTCTGTTTGCTACCCTTGATGGTGTGTTGGTGCAGTGATCTTCTGTTTTCTGTCTATTTGTCCTTACGTCAGACTTCCCAGAACTTTCGCCTTTATGCATTCTGTGATGAAATGTTTTCTTAAGATTTGAGCCATAATTGGGAAACGAAGTCAAGCGGGTTCTTTCACTGGAGGAAGGGAGATGACCTGACCCTCCCTTGCCATACTTTCTTTCCCCAAACCCACTCATCATAAACAGAGTTCCTCCAGCAACAGGATCCACAGGGTGCCTCCTTGAGCAGTAGGTTCGCAGGAAAAGTTTGGACGGGGTTAGGAAAGAGACACTGCAGCTCTAAATCATAGCTATAACCCACCCTGCCTCCTTGCATACCAAACAAGCTGTTCTGGCAAATGCAAATCTTAAAACTTAGGGTTTTGTTCAAAACCTCCAGCATGCATCAGAGGCTGTAGTATAATTTGAGGAATGCTTGTGTGTTTCGTCATCTGGCAAGCAATGCATGAGAAGATTCGCTCCCGGCCAAGTCTGTGGAGGACACATGTTGGTAGGGATGCCGGGTCAGTGTGCCATCATGGCTAAAGCTTCTGAGACAAGTTCGTGTGCTGTAAATGGCTGAGGAATTGGGTGTTTCAGCACGTGTCAATATCTATCCTAAGGAGAAAATTCCAAAGGAAGGTCCATCTGCTCATATTCTGTGAATTCCTGGAACAGGCGTGAATAACCAGTGACTGGCTCTCTAGGTGTTGCTGGACACGCCTCATTACCTGACCATTGGCCACGTCAGCTGGAGCTGATGGAAGTCTTGCAATATCTGGAGGAGTCCACAGGTCCCCCACCCCTCTTTCCTCTTCCAGAGTAAGGGGCAGCTCTTTAAACTGAAGCTTGCCCTCAACTCCTATACCACATTTCTGACATGATGGTCCACATGTGTTTCCCAGCAATGAAAAAAGTCACTTAAAAGTCTCCTCCCACAGTGTATTCAGTATAGAACTTTCACATTCTTAAATCTGATAATGAATAGCAGCATTGGTTTCTTGCTCATATAAAATACCAAAGCGGCTTGCAGAAGAAATTCTAACATCAACCTGGAAACTTTTAACGGGAAGAGTTCCTTTCTCTCCTCCCCAGAATGGTCTAGTCTTTCTTTTCTGTTCCTTTGCGTAGGAAGATAATTGTCAGGTTGTTCTAAAATGGTTTCTAATATTGTGTTTTTATGCTGAATCCTGCCCTGGGATCATCGGGTGAAGGCGGGCAATAAATAAACAAAAATATAAGACTAAATATGAGGGTGGGGGTGTCCTCTTTTTCTAGAGCTCCATATCTGGGGGAAAACATTGTACCAGCATGAGCAGTGGAGGAAGATGGGTTTTCCAGTAGCTCATAGGCAGACATAGGAATCAGGTGGTAGATCCACCTAGCTGTTTCCTAAAAAGAGATGTGGCAGTGAGGTGAGCATCTGACATGCTTATTTGATCATAGGCCAACTGAGAGGCACGAGTTGCAGAAATGGGTGTCCTTTGAGCACACCATATTGAAGAGTGAGGTGACTGAGGGTGGCTGTGGATTCTGCCCTGTATGTCTGCGGGGATATGTTGCAATTACTGGATGTTCCACTTCCCAAAGAAGCTTCGTCATGGACTTGGCTTCCTTGTTTGAGGAGGGCGAAGTTGTGCCAGCTGCTGGGTGTGCCAGCTCCTCCTCAGTGTGGGCAGTGGCTGTGAATGACGTGTTCTTCCATCACTGCCCAGCTTTCCTATCTCCACTCAAAGAGGAAGCATGGAGGCAGGGTGCCGCAACGAGTCAAATAAATGAATAATGGGAGGGTTGGGTGTTCTTCTACCATCTCTGTTGTTGTGGATATTAAAGTTCCCAGTAAACACTCGTTTGGGTTGCTAATCCTTTGTACAAATATATATGGATGTATAGGAGGAATGATAGGGTTTTATTATTTAAAGCATTGGCTCTCTTGCTGTTTTGTATGGGTATTCAGCAAACACAGGTCAGTTAAGGGGTGCAGTATTTTTTTAAATTGGTTTTTATTAGAGATTTTCTTGCGTTACAAAACAAATAGGGAAAAGTACATATAGCACCTTCATTTTTCCATTTATAGACTTTTTCACAGCTTGTTTACAATTGGTATGAGACACTATTGTCCTAGATATCATTCAGTTGGGGGGGGGGGAGAAGGTAACATTCCTGGTCTCACTGGCTTCAGTACGACCCTAGGATACAAAAGCCAGGCTAGCTAGCCAGAGCTGCACTGGTAATCCTCTGCGGACCCAGACCAACATTTGCAGAGTTATGAATGGCAAGTCACACTTTAAAAACCTGCATTTCTGTCTCCAGATGGTCCTGGCTATACAATCTGGAAAAAGATCAATGGAGAAGTTGAGAGTAGGATGGAGAAATAACCATAAACTGCAGTCTCAATGCTTCTTGTGTTTCTCCCCTTTAGAAAGATTTGAGGCCTCGCCTCTGCCGGATGAAGAAGGGCCCCAATGGGTATGGATTCAACCTCCACAGCGACAAGGCCAAGCCGGGCCAGTATGTACGAGCGGTGGATCCAGATTCGCCAGCCGAAGCCTCAGGACTCCTGCCTCAAGACCGCATTATAGAGGTATACGGGGTTGGGGGTGAGATGTGCACAGGCCCCAAACAAGGTCCCTTGAAGTGGTGTGGAAATAGGTCACATAGCAAACAGACTGGCGGGACTGAAATCCTTGGGGTGACTTCTCACTCCTATGTGACCTGTAACTATATGGCTCTGTTCAGGTGTAACAAACCATGGTTTGCTACAAAAGCCAACTGTGGGGGGCCACTGACTTGCATGCTTCCCTCTTATCTTCCTCCTCAGTACACAAGAGGAGATTGAAAACTTCCGCTTTGGGATAAGCTACAGCTTTGTGTTACGTCCCATTTCTGAATTGTAGTTTGTTCTAACCATGGTTAGTTAAGACAGAACCAGGGTGTCAAGCGGTGGTTTTATCCCTTTTTTTGTGTG